TGGGAAGCTATACTACAAATGTCTGGACGAGGGATGTCAATTTTTTAAGTGGATGACTCCTACTACTCTGCATTTTTCGAAAATTACAAATGAAATGATAAATGTACGACGAATTGAAGAAGATGTAATGACATTGAAGTTGAAGATTGAAGAACTTTGTAATATGGTTCAACATGTTGAGGCAAAAGAAGGAGAAATTAAGTGATTAATGTTTGTAACCATGTTATTAGTGGTGATACTTTTGTTTATGATTCTAGTGAAGTAGAGATATAAGATTAATGGTATATTGATGAAACTTGTGTTGTAAATCAAATTGTAGGTACAATTTGAATGAAATTGTGGGTTTTGTATAGTGTTGTAATTTGAAAAAAAATCATGTTCATCAAAAAAGATCACGTTCATAAAAAAAGAACATGTTCATAAAAAATCATCACGTTCATAAAAAAAGATCATGTTCATAAAAAAAGATCACATTCATTAAAAAAAATGGCGTATAATCACAATCACACATTATGATCATGTTCAGTAAAAATACAAAATAAATAATTTTCAACAAAATGATCCAACAAGCAACTAATAGCCCCCAAATATCCTTACAAGTTGTATCCCCCATTCATGAAAAATGATTCAGCATCATTTAAAGAATGCACATGTGTTAAATCAGTTGGAGTATCCTATATTAATGAGAAAGGGTCAGACAAAGAAACTTGATACATATGAGAAACAATAAAATTAGTAATAAGGTAACATGTCATAACACTTTGTAAACTATTTGAAGTTTGACAAGACAATATATTTGAATGACCATATGTTGATGTATACGGGTGACTGAAACCATGTACCTGAAATATAAAAATACTTACAATTATGTTTATAAAAATATAAAGTGAATAAAAATATGCCGAAGCTTGTGATAAGTACATTTATGTTTATAAAAATATGAAGTGAATTAAAAAAAATCTACAATTATATTTATACGATACCGTAGACATATGGGATGGTTGGAAAACTCCATTTTTTCTCTTTGTTGCTTTCTCATGCCAAGATTTTAGTCGACCCCAACTTGTAACCTCCTTCTTTTCTTTTTAAACCTTTAACTTGGAGAATATTTGGGTCAACATTTTCTGTTCCTTCTTCATGGATTGAATCATCGCCACCATCACCAATTGATGCATACATATTATCCACTTGTTTAAACAATTTCTCAACACCACGTGACACCAATTGATATGCAGGTTGAGGACTATAGCATCGAGCAACTAGTTTTACCATTCTAGGATAAAGCTGTCTGTAATGTGACGCTACCATTAACTTGTGATCCTATTCATTTGACATTGAAATGGAGGCTTTCCTACAACTCTGTCTTGCATCTAGTCTCCATCTATTACATATATATTGCTCAAAAATTTGTTTAATATTTATCATGTACAAAACTTTAAGTGTATGACTACATAATATTCTCTCTATTTCAAACTTCCAACAATTACAATTGACTATCTCCTCATTAGCCTTAACCAAGATCAAATACTCTATTTATTCATCAAATAATCGAACCACAAATTGATGTCACTCATCCAACACATCACATGGTGTCGCAATGGCACACTGAAAGATATCATACTCATCTTGAAACAGCTCAAATATAGTAGGAGTGTACACTTGCCCCGCTTGTACTAACACTGAATTTCTTTTTAACTTCAATCTAGGTAATTTTTGCCTAGTTTAATATTCTGAGTCTGACTCTTTATACTGCTTATTATTCACAACTTTTTCAAAATGTATAAAGAATTGAACAATGTCATGGTCTGACTTTAAGTTCTTCCGTAAGGTTGCGCTCAAGCTCTCACTCAGTTGGGTGTTTCTCATTCCTACAGTGAAAGTCCTCTTCATTTACACATGGCCCCATTTCTCTTGTAATGCCTAAATGGATTTCATCGACATATTATCATACAAATTATACTCTGTATGCAACGATTCTCAAGTCTCAAATAAATCATGTTCTTCTTTATATCCATACACACACTCTTTAAATCAAGTAAGAAAATGTGAACCATCCTTATATATATTCCCCAAACGTTTCAAAGCATTTTAGCAAAAGTGACAGCAACATAACCTATGGTATGTCTCTGGCATCACTATATAAATAACTTTAGCCATCGTTTGATCTTGGTCGGTGAAGCTGTAACAGGATATTTCCTAGACATAGCTTATAGGAATGTCTCAAACAACCACTAAAATGATGTTGTCGTTTCATCATATAATAATGCAGCTCCAAAAAAGACTGTCTCCCAAAAATGGTTGAAGTCAGTAAAACAAACAAATGGTCGATATTCCTTGTTCGTTCTGAAAATAGTGTCAAATGAGACAACATCTCCAAAGTTGTCATAATCAATAATCATTTTTGGGTCAGTCCAAAAAATATTAGTAATATGCTCCTCCACATCTAATTGCACTCCATAATAAAATGATGGAGTTTTAACTGCTTAAATTTGAAAATACTTCAACAAACTACCCTCCTCACTATACCTTAAGTCTCGTTGCCTCCTTTCATGAAGGTAATTCTTTTGATTTTGACGAATAAAACCTAGACTTTCTTTTCCTCTCGACTAAATACTTAAAAGTTCATAAGAAGTCTTAAGTGATATTCCACAATCCATTGCCATATCAATATTAATGTCTTGTGTTCCAGTAACCTTCCGTTAAGATGACATCATATGCATACATTTAGCAAGGTGCAAAGGATGGTTGTGGTTGTCGTCCCATTTCACTACAACAAATTTTTCAGTTTCTCTATTAAGAGATATGCACATATAAACTTGACAATTTGTTCGTGTCTCTACTCAAGGTTTCCTTATTTATCACTCTCTTTTATCATAAACCCTTTGACCTTGTTTACAATAAAAATATTTTCTATAAATGACAACGCCATCTTTTGAACTGTTATTCTGAAAATCTTTTCTCACGCTAAATCCCACAGACCTCCATAATTATTGTAAAACACATAAGCATCTTTCTCTGCATCAAATTGCATATCAATATGAGGTCTATTCTCATTCGCATTAACTCCTAAATCATCCATCATAACATCCTACAATAAGAAATTTAATTGAAATGACATTATGTGGTGAATGAAACACATAATATATGTATGACATTTAAAAAAATTAAATCAAACTAGCAGCAACTGCATACTGGCTTTGTTAATAAACAATAGGTTGCATACATCTTCTATGGCTACTTACATTCATAGATGGAATTGGCAGAGTATTGAGAATGAATTAAAGCCAACACTTGGTATCCTATTCTCTAGATGTCACATCAAAAGAGAAAGAGAAATCTAAATGTCATGTACATGAGGTTACATAATTCTTAAACAAATTAATCAAACCCAACATAAATTGTATTATAAGATTTATATTTCAACTCAACAACAGTTTTACAATTTAAAACATGACATTATCCAATCCATTAACAAGCCAGCAAGATCAAAAAACACAAAATATGACACTACCCGATTCATTAACAAGCCAACAAGAACCAAAAAAAAAACATGTACAAAGAAATTGGCTTCATTATTCCATTATTTTTATTAATCAAGAGCTTCATCAAACAATCTCTTAGCTCCAAATATCCATTAACTCAGGACTCAACCTAAACATTAAAACACAGAATTCAAATTCATTGATAGCCCCATCTCCATCCAAGTCTCCTTCTCTTACCTGGCTTTTGGCATTCACTGCATTTGACGAAGAAGAAGACAGAGAATGAATTCAGAAGAAGGCGGGAGAAGTAGTCGGTTTGACGAGGAAGAAGAGATTTCAGATGTTGATTAGAAGGACAAAAAATGACATTGTTTTTGGTAAGAACTATTAAAAAAAATGTAAAAAGCAACCAAAATGGTGTCGTTCCACTTAACCGCATATCATACGATAACCAACAAACTGCAGAGGGGCCGAACCCATGTGAGAGTTGTTCATTGTCTCATATATATATTGCTGCTATCAATTACAAGGGGTAAATGGCAAGAAAGGAGGAAAGAAATATTACAAACTATGTTTATGGGTCACTAGCCGTTGGGAGTGATTTAAGGAGGACTTGTGTATGTCCATAGCAGAAGGCTTGTGCTCTGCAATTAAAATGTAATCAAATGACAATTTGCCATGATTTGCTCTTTCTTGTTTTGGTTCTTCAGCACCATGAAGGGAATCACTTCCAATATTTTCAGCTGGATTTCTTTTTAGCATTCTCCCTGGAAAGAATTCTTCCACAGGCTATGAATGGCAGCAACAACCACTAGGGCAAAACCACACAGTCACCAATTTATCTTCATGTCCCCCAATAAAATTCTAAAATCGATAATGCCCTTTTTTTTGGTTCAATGGTTAAGGGGTGTTCAGACCAGTTTATTTGTATCTCGATTAATCTCTTTTCTGGTCCGATCAAAGGCAGATCATTCACATTGGGACTAAGATATTCAGGAGAAATAAATCTCTTATAGTTTAACCCTAATGAGTTGTCAATATTTAAACTCAGGACGTCCGCGTTTACAGTCCATCTATGTTACCATTTGAGGTATTCTTGAGCTTGATATTGTCCCTTTTCAAAACATGCCCATCTGTATCAATAAACCTTTGGTACCCACCATTCCGTCCCCACCATGACCTCTCTCGCTGTCCTTTTAATCCTTCAATCCTCAAGAGTCTATTATTTCCTCATTCCATCCTCTCTCTCTCTCTCTCTCTCCTCAAAAAAAAAAAAAAAAAAA